AGTGAGCGGGAACCGGTCTGTATGTGGGATCTGAACCCTCGGCGGGAGCGCCGCCACGCTTTCCCAAGCAGCGCACTAGCACAGTGCGCCACCGGGCCGGCCCCTCCATTATGTTTTTAATTATAATCACTCTATTCTTTTCTGTAAGTCCAAATTGGGTCCTTTTCAAATCTACCTTTTCTGTCTGAGCCAATGACTGTCTAATGCCTCAGTACCTCTCGTATCTATATCTTAATGCCTCCATACACAGTAGAAATGCAAACATTTAAAGAAATAGGCTCTTTTTCTCCCCAGATTTGATGCCAGTTCTGAGTAATATAAGGAGACTAACTAAAGATGAAAATAACAGAGATACTATGTTTTATAGCATGTTTATATCAAAAGTCTACATGGCCTTCTTGTTTTAAGGGAGAGACAGAAACTCCCTGTATTCTACACATTATTTTTAAGATCTTATTAAAATAAATATGTTAAAAGGCAAGAATAGGTATTAAACAGTTAAAATGAATAAGTTAGATCCATGCTTTCAATATATAAATCTCAAAAAATATGGAATAAAAATGTCATGAAAAGATAGGTATAATGTAAAACTTTATAAAGATATGGACAGGAAGCATACATAATAATGTCAAAATAAGTTACCTCTGGGAAGGGGAAGATTTAAAATATACAAATAAATAAAACATCAACAAATGGTGCTGGGACAATTGAATACCCACATGCAAAAGAATTAAGTGGGCCCTCCTACTTCACACAATATACAAAAATGGACTTAAAATGGATCGAAGACTTAAAAGAACTAAAACTATGAAATTCTTGGAAGGAAATATTAGGTAAAAATCTGCATGAGTGTGGATCTGGCAATGGTTTTCTAGATATGACACCAGAAGCACAAGCAACAAAAGAAAAAAAATAGATAGATGGGATTGCATAAAAATAAAAAACTTTTGTGTTCAAAAAGACACCATCAAGAAAGTAAAAACACAACCCACAGAAGGTTAAAAAAAAACAACCTTGCAACCTTGCAAATCATAAATTTGGTGACACTCATATTGAGACTATACAAACAACTCTTAAAACAATGAAAAGATAAATAACCTAATTGTTAAAATGGGCACAGGATCTAACAGACATTTCTCCAAAAATATACAAATTGCCAATAAGCACATGAAATGCTGCTCAACATCACACTCACCAGAAAATGAAAATAGGACAAACAAAAAAACGAAGCAAAGTACTAACTACAAAAGATTGGTAACCTTTATTTGATTAAAATGAATAACTTCTATTCACCAAAAGACCCTCAATATAAATGTCATGGAGGAGTTATGTGTACTATTCTTGCAGCTGCTGTGGAAAACAATTGGGCAGTTCTTCAAGAGGTTAAACATGAATTACCATATGATACAGCAATTCCACTCCGACGTATATACCCCAGAAAAATGAAAACATATGCTCACACAAAAACTTGTGCTCAAATGTTTATAGCAGCATTAGTCATGATAGCCCTATGGTTTTGACAAGAAACAATCCAAATGTCCACCCACTGAAGAATAAACAAAATGTGTTATCTGTCCATACAACAGAACATTATTCAGCCACAAAAAGGAATAAAGTACTATTACATGCTTCAACATGGATGAAGCCTGAAAACATGCTAAGTGAAAGAAGCCGGACACAAAAGACAATATATTATATGACTGCATTCATATAAAATATCCAGAATCAGCAACCCCATAGCTACAGAAGTAGATTAGTGGTTGCCAGAGGATGCAGGGAGAGGGGGAAAATGGGACTAACTGCTAATAAGTATAGGGTTTCTTTGGGGGCAGAAGGAAATGTTCTGGAATTAGATAGTGGCAATGATTGCACAACATAGCAAATATATTAAAAACTACTTAAGTCCACACTTTAAAACAGTGAATTTTATGTCCTATAAAGTATTAGCTCAATAAAAAAATGATATGCATCACAAAATATCAAATGCTTACGTGTACAAAAATGTGTAAGGACGCTACAGTGAAAACTACAAAATATGACTATGAAAAGTTAAAGACCTAAATAAACAGGGAGACTTGTGGATTGAAAGAATATTGTACAGATGTTAACTCTCCTCAAATTAATCTAGAGATTTAATGCAATCCCAATAAAAATCCCATTAGGTTTTTGCTATAGTGTGAATGTTTGCATCCTCCTCGAAATTCAAATGTTGAAATCCTAACCCTGAAGGTGATGGTATTGGAGGTGGGGCCTTTTAGGAGGTGATTAGGTCATGAGAGCAGAAACTTCATAAATGGAATTAGTTCTCTTATAAAAGAAGCCCCTTCCACCATGTAAGGACCCAGAGAGAAGGCACCATTTCGAACCAGACCGTTACCAGACACTGAATCTGCTGGCAACTGGATCTTGGACCATAAAAGAAGCCCCTTCCACCATGTAAGGACCCAGAGAGAAGGCACCATTTCGAACCAGACCCTTACCAGACACTGAATCTGCTGGCAACTGGATCTTGGACTTCCCAGCCTCCAGAGCTATGAGAAATAAATTTCTGTTATTTATAAGCTACCTAGTTTATGGTATTTTTTTTTATAGCCCAAACTAAGACAGTTTTTTTCTGGAAATTTATAAGCTGATTCTAAAAATCACATGGAAATGCAAGGAACTAAGAATAACCCAGGTAATCTTGAAAGCAACAAATTTGGGAGACTTATGCTACCAAATATCAAGACCTATTATGAAACTACAGTAATTAGGTTATATGGAGATAGTGTAGAAATAGAGAAATTGACAAACAGAAAAGAACCAAGTCCAGAAACAGATACACATATATACTGCCATCTAATTTAGGACAAAGGCAGCCATGTAGTACACAGTGAAAAGGACAGTCTTTTCAATAAGTGATACTGGGTCAACTGGACATCCATATGGAAAAAAAATATCTTGATCCCTACCTTATAAAATATACAAAAATAAACTCCAGATGAACTACAATATGAATGTGGAAGCTAAAAAGATACAATTTTAAAAGGAAAATATATTTTCATGACCTTAGAGGGAGCAAAGAGTTCTTGAAAAGGACAAACAAAAAAACGAAGCAAAGTACTAACTACAAAAGATTGGTAACCTTTATTTGATTAAAATGAATAACTTCTATTCACCAAAAGACCCTCAATATAAATGTCATGGAGGAGTTATGTGTACTATTCTGGCAACTTTTCTGTAAGTTTTAAATCATTTACAAATAAAATGGTAAAAATAAAGACATCCAATAGAATAATGGGCAAAAGACTTGAATAGGAACTTCACAAAAGATGTTGTCCAAATAATGGCCAATAACATATGAAGTACTCCACATTTCATTAGTCCATCAAAACAATACAAATTAAACCCATAATGGGATACACCACCACACACCCAGCAGAATGGTTACAATGAAAGAAAGAGAAAATGCGAAGTATTGGTGAGGGCAAGGGTGTATATCTCAGTATAAACTACTTTGAGAACATTTGAAAATAGCTATTAAAGCCAAAAATATATGAAAAGTTATATTTTCAAAATATATGAAAAAAATATTAAAAGTTCGTGGAAAAATAGAATTGAAAGATAATATAAATCTTTCCATGAGCTTTTTTTTTCCCCAGCTGGCTGGTATGGGAACCTAAACCTTTAAAATTGGTCTTATAATATCATGCTCTAAACAACTTAGCTAACCAGCCAGCCCCTTTCCATAAGCTTTTTGAAATATCTTTGTACATAACCTATGACCTACCAATTCTACTTCTGAGTATAGACCAATGTCACCAAAAATATATTAGAATTCACAGCAGTACTTTCATAACAGCCCAAAACTCGACGTAACCTAAATACCCATCACTAGCAGAAGAGTAGGACAAAATAATACTATATGACAATGATAATAATCTATGATTGTAACGAATAACATGAATGACTCTCACGAACACATTAAGGGGGAGCCAGACACAAAACAGTCCATACTCTAAGATTCCATTTATATGAAGTACAAAAACAAGACAAAATTAATCTGTTAGAAGTCATAATAGAGGTTAACCTTCGGGGTGGGATTGTTAGTGAGCAAAAATGAATATGAAAGGGGGCTTCTAAGGTGCTAGTAATTTCTATTTCTTGACCTAGATGCTGGTGAGCACATTGAACCCAGGTGTGTTCAGTTTGTAAAAAGTGATTGAGCTATATACACTTATGATATGTGTACATGTCTATCATCATGTCATATTTCATTATAAATTTATATAAACACATACATATATATACTGAATAAGCACATGTGCAAACTTCTCACCCTCAAATGTACAAGGGTACTTCAAAAAGTTCATGGAAAGGTTCGTATTATCTTTTAATTCTATTTTTCTGTGAACTTTCTGAAGCACTCTTATATAGCACATGTGCAAACTTCTCACCCTCAAATGTACAAGGGTACTTCAAAAAGTTCATGGAAAGATTCGTATTATCTTTTAATTCTATTTTTCTGTGAACTTTCTGAAGCACTCTTATATGTCTACAGAGAATGGGAATCAGTAATACCCTGAAAAATGGCTATGTCCTTGCTAATCACCCCATACTAGTCTATAAGCCAGGACCAAAAACAGAGATGCAAAAGGCTTTTGATTGCTTCACTTAAATATGAATTAAATCGATATATTTAAAGCAGATGTCATAGTAAGGAAGATATTCACTGTTCGGCAGAAAACAATAAACCATTTTAAAATATGAGCAATGTTTTAGGAAACTTAAGTGTCCTAAAATTGCTTAGCTAAACTTCCTCCCCACCACAACTCCTCTCTACAGTTATCATAATAAGACTTGATTTAGGAGACAAATAACCTTCCCCCATTCTGAAATCCACAAGTCCCAATTTCAATTGGGAGGGCCTGCTATTCAGCCAGCTAACCATTTAATGGGCAAAGGAAAAGGATGTCAAGTTGCAGCAAAAACACTGATGTATCTGATTACCATGTAGTTCCAAACAATAAACCCTTTTATCACAGACTTGCACATCTGTAGCAATGTTATAGTAAGTTCACTATTTTTGTGGGTTTTGTCGTCACTCTTTTAACATGTCTGCCCAGATATGAGGGCTCTTCAAAAAGTTTGTGGAAAGACTCCTAACACATTTTTGCTTGTTTTTATTTTCAGTAGCTGGCCAATACAGGGATCTGAATCCTTGACCTTGGTGGTGTAACACCACACTCTAACCAACTGAACTAGCTGACCAGCCCCTCCTATTATCTTTCAATTATATTTTTCCACGAACTTTCTGAAGTACCCTCTTATAATCAAGAACTAAGCATGATAATTTTTATATTATTTCACCTTAAATTCATTAGAGGCAGAACTAGCAGGGTATGGTAGAATACTGCTAGACCTGAACAAAAAATAATCTACAATTTCTTCCCTCACCCGAATTTCCAATGACCCTATTCAGAGATTACGACATCCTCAGTTCATCTAAATTATGACTGACAAAGATTCAAAGGCCCTCTTCTGTAATTTATAACACATTCTGGGGATCTTAAACAAAAAAGATCCAGTGACACTGAAAGTGGAAGGAGGGGCACCTATTGAATATTCGCTCAAGTATTACATTAAAAGCAGAAAACATATGCCAAAGTATTTTTCTTCAAAGGTTTTTATCACCAGAACTTTTATTTCAGCTCTTCTAAAATTAGTTTTGTCAGTTTAGTATCTTTGTCTTAAGCACAAATTGTTCTAAAATGTGGTCCTTACCACCACTCTTGGAAAATCCTCTGTTCCGTGATTGATTATCTTCACAGTCATTGTTAGAGTCTTGAAGAAAAATTTATCATGTGAATAGCATCTAAATAATTTACTTTAAAGGAGTAATAAATATCTAAAGAATGGAACTGTCACAAGATAAGAAAACAAAAATATTTTCATAAGTTAAAATGTAAGCATTTTAATTCCTGAGATAACTTTATCAACAGAAATATATAAATACCTTACTCAGAGTCAATTCCCTATACAAATCATCTAATGTACTTAAATATTAAATGTTAGGTTTATAATTAAGAATCCACTATTTGTCAAGTGCTATTTATTAGTAGGCAAAATAAGCCAAAAAAATAAGAATTTCATAAATGTCAGTTTGACTCAAAATTGTTTCAGAATATCTAAACTATTAAGTAATCAAATGGTTCTCAAATGTGGTCCACAGACGACTAGAAACACATGACTGTTCTATTTATAATGTTATATATTTTTCTGTAATATACCTTTTTTTTCTTTTTTTCTCCTGGTGGCTGGCTGGTTCTGGGATCTGAACCTGTGTTCTTGGTGCTACCAGTATCACACTCTCCTAAATGAGCTAACAGGTCAGCCTGTAATGTACCATTCTTAATAAACTTGTGACATTGGTGCTTTCTCAAATATATGTAAACTTTTCCCCATTCATTCTAATGAAATAATTTGGGTATATCCTGGCTTTTCTGTTTGTAATTACATCAACAAGTAACATTACCAGGGTTTTTAAATAGTGGTATGAAGAATTCTACACTAAAGGCTGCCTAATAATTATCTGGAAAGTTGGTTAAAATTAAACTTCCAGGCCCTACATCTGGAGATGTTTATTCTGAAAGTGCAGAGTAATAGCAAAGGATGAGTAATTTTTTAAAATTTAAAAGTATGTGTTAGTAACATAACTTTTAGCTTTCCAGAAGATTCCAACAAAGTCACATTTGGAAAATACAGAAATGGCTTCAAGGGATCTTTGTACATGTCATTAATGTTTAATGTCTGAGAACTTTACATCACAGCAATGACATCAAGTGACTAAACAGCTTGCAGGCTATCAGCTAAGCTCCTATATAAAAACATCAATTTACTTATTTAATATTGCTTTACAATAAACAAAGACTCAGAGCTTCAGTTGCAGGCTCCCATTTGAGCTATAGTAAACTGACAAATATTTTGAAGAGCCATCTCACAACAAGACAACTTTCTTGAAGGTAGGTTTTAACACAAAGGAGCCAGGAAGGGAAAAGAGAATTTTAGAAAGAAGGTTAGCCTGGAATGATAATGATGATAGCTAAAATTTACTGTCTTAAAGAAAACAATTTGGCACCTGACAAGAAGAAGGGAGTCTCATTATCTCTGGCCAATTATTCCCCTAAAACAAACCTATACTTATTCTGGCCACACTGCGAATTTAAACAGAATGATGACATTAGAAGAAGTTGAGTGAAGGGCACATTATACCCTCTACTATTTTTGCAACTTCTTGTGAATCAAACTCTTTCAAAATAAAGTTATTTAAAAAAATTAATCTCTATAGAATTAGAAAATAAAACCCAGCACAAACAAAAATGAGACAATGATCTCAAGATTAGTTATGACCTATTCATTACATAATATAAAAATGTGTATAAAACTTAGTATGTACCTGGCACTGTTCTAAATGCATCATATGTGTTAACCTTTTAAAACTTCACAAAAACCTGTGAAGTGGGTATAATCCTCACTTTATAAATAGGGAAAATGAAATACAGAAAGGTGAAATATATCTGCCAAGATAATACAAATGTCAGGAGGAGAATCTGGGTCTCAAACCTAGGGTGTCCAACTCCAACTTCTTTTCACTACATATACTAGCTCAGGAAAACTAGATTACAGGAAAAAACAACCACAAATCACACTATACATTGTGTACAGAGTAAAAGCTTCTACCATGAGCTCAAAACCTGCTCCTGGGCTTGTCAACAACTACGAGAATGAAAGAATTTGATCCATAGATATAATTTTATTTATTTAGAGGAACTAGGAATGAAAACAGAAGAAAGTAGATCAAAGCAAAGAAAGCAGACCACTTTGGAGAAAAGAAGTTCTCTCAAGCGCTGGGAAAATTGGAATCTGTACCACAATCTCTAGAACGGAGTCAACTGGGTAGGAAAGTCTTTAGACAAATAGAAATCATCTCAAATATTAAATTAGATTAAAAGTTGGTAGATTAGGGCTGGCTGGTTAGCTCAGTTGATTAGAGCATGGTGCTGATAATACTGAGGTCCAAAGTTCAATCCCTGTACTGGCCAGCCACCAAAAAATAAGGGGTGGGGGAAGGGTAGAAGATTAAAATAGAAACAATACTGAGGTCCAAAGTTCAATCCCTGTACTGGCCAGCCACCAAAAAATAAGGGGTGGGGGGAAGGGTAGAAGATTAAAATAGAAACAAATAAAAATGGAAAGGAATAAAAATGGTGGTGTTTTTCTTCTCTCATAAATACTGGTTCTATGTTATTTAGGTTTTCATTAGAATGGGACAGGAGGAAAAAAGAGAAACAGAGAGAATGGGCCTGGCAATAGTTCGAGGAAACAGTCTTATTTGATATATTAAAATCCCACCTATCCCAAAAAAGATTTAAGGGGATCAGGTCTAGACTTGGTTTTGACTTTGGCAATTAGATAGAATAAAAAGAACAAGCCTTAATTATTTAATGAAGAAGGACAGATGGCATTTACTGAGTGTTTACCATGAATGAATGTGTCTGGTACTGAGCTTTGGGCTTTTATACACATTCTTGATCTATCTGACAACCTATAAAATGAATGGCCTCAGTTCTACAGAATAAGAAACTGTGGCTTAGAGAGATTAAGCAACTTGTTCTACTGTCAATGAACTAGCACGTAGCAGAGCAGAGACATGAAACAAAGCCTAGAACTCCAAAGTAAACTATGTAATAAAGATTTTACAGATTAATGGTTACCAAACAAAAGAGGCATTTTAAATATAGGATGCTTTTTAAATATAGGTTCCATGCCTTCACCCAAAACTATTCAATCAGATTTTAGAAAAGCACCGTTTATCATTGTAGTCTATCTTCTGGTAACATTACTCTATTCTCATCATTCTCTGTATTCCCCCAAACCAGGGTATCAATACCTTTGACAGAAATCTCAGCAGTGATTCACATTTTCTTGAATCTTTTTCTTAGGCTTGAGTCTAAATGGGACCCTACACATCTGAAACTGTATTTGCATACGGGATGAAGTTTGAATTCTTGACTTGCTCTTTCTATTCTCTATCCCCTTTTTCTTAAGGTAGGCCAGCATTAAAAAGTTGAATCTCATAGATTAACTAAGGCCCATGACAATAGTCCAAATTAGGATGCCTGAATTCTTTATCTACACACCAGGAACATCCTTGGGTAAGCCTCTGTATGTAGCTCTTCATAAAACTGTGTTTAAATAAATTAGAATTGGATCAGACTAAGACACTTAATATTAGTCTCTCTTAGATTGTACTCTTGACATTACACTTTTAAGTTATTACAAACACCTTGAACTTACCTCTCCAGAAAGCAGAGCTATCACCTTCTTCAAACCTGTTATTCGAAAAACCTACACAAAACATAAAATAAAACTTGCAAATTGCTGAAAACAATTTCGTGCACCTCTGTGGTAAACAACCTTACAGGGAATACCAGTTACAATGCTCTTGTAAAATAAGATAAACCATATACAATTGTATATGTACATATTGAGTGAGAACTTACTCAGGCTATACTACAATTTCTGCTTTTATCAACTCCATTCTCTTCAGGTTAAAAACAACTTTCTTTTCAGCCAATTTTATATTACCCCAAATGTCATATAATCCTCTACAGGTACATGGGCAAAACAGGGGTACATGTCTGTATAACCACTATATACTTTCTACTCAAAATATCAAAAATTTTTAAATTTTACCAATTAATTAATAATCTCTTCATTTGCCAAAGGACAATACAACTAAATTATAATTCAATATGCAATAATTTTCCCCTTCTCATTAACATGGAAATCCTGTTAACCTTTTTTGCTTATTATAAAAAAAAGTCTTTCATCAAGCTCTGCTTTCAAATTTCTCATTTCATAAAAACTTAGGTCTAATGTACGTATCTCTGAAGCAGATATTGAAAAAAAATTTTAAAGCACCCATCATTAATCTTTCATAAAATTAAAAAATGTTGAGTCTTAAATAAAATGATCTTTAGTGCAAAGATACTAAGGGAATAGTACCTTAAAGTTAAATGTCAGTATGAAATGCCTGTCAATCAGTATTTAAACTAAATTATAAAATCATTCAAGTTTTTATCATAATATATCATAAGCAAGTAATTACCTCTGTTTCCAAAACACTTTCCAGCTCCAAAACCACCCACTATGCATGTATTCTCTTTTATTAGATTCGCCTTCATGTGAAAAAATTCAGTTAAACTCTTCAACATGAAATTAAGTATGTCATCAAAAACTAGGAATTAAACGAAATTTGGGGTAATGGGACTTACAAGGATAGAAAGAGAGTAGTACAGGAACTTAATATATCTGCAACCTCTTTTTAAAAACTCTTAAATTTTGATATCAAAGTAAAAACATAAATCTACTACTGGCAAATTATGGCTTTCTACTAGCTGTTATTTTACTGGAAACTTTTAATTGGAAAATTCAGCTCTGATTTTCTCTATGTTGAACCTTCACCCTGATAGAGCCAGCTATTATACTCTGCTGTATGAAAGTCGTTGCTATGGATAATTTTATACTCTTGTCCTGCTTAACTGTTCTATTTATTTTTCTAGTATTTCTCTCTCAACTTTTCCACTTTTAAAATTAAAATTAGGAAGGGACAACATAAGGAAAAAAAGCTCTGAATATTACGCCACTTCATACCTTCCCATCTCTCCATACTATTTCCCAATATTTACCTTCTTAGCTTTATTTCCCTCTACATAATTCTGAATGCCCAACATTTTAATTCACAGCAAACAACTTCCCCGTACTCCACTTTGTCAACTTCTAATATTTTGTACCTTTGTACATGCTGTTCCTTTAGCATGACATTACCTGCTTTCCTATTTTTCCTATCAAAATTCTTTTCACATTTCAAAAGACGAATTCTTCTGTGAAGTCTTCCTTCAACCCTCCATCATAACTAATCCTTCACATTCCCATAGCTCACTATCACTACCTCTTTAGTAATGTTTCTTTCCATGTTTCTTTATCACTAAATTAAGAACTTTAAGGGCAGAGATGCAACAAGGAAAACAGTTGTTATTTTTTTTAATGGAACAGCAGAGACACCCAAAACAGCATAAAACTGACACTTTAAAATACCACTGGGAAAATTAAAGCTTTCCCTGTGATCCCTACAAATTGTCTACCAATCTCTGTAATACCCTACAGCGGAATTAAAGACCATCTGTAAAAATTTCTAAAGTCACAAGCAAAACTGTGTATGACCAACTATGAGTATTTTCATCATATTTTAAAGATGTGTGGGATTCAAGAACTTAAAGCTACTTAGCCATATTTCACAGAACATGAAAAGCTAAGCAATATTATGTTATATTTTAAGCAATTAAAAGTCAACTTCAAAAACATGTTATTAGCTTCCTAAGTTCTGAGGAAAAAAATCAGAGATTGAAACTATGTAAAATGTTAGATCATAAGGAAAAGAAGTTATACTCGTGGACCTATGAATTCCAAGATTATATGTAGTATAAAGATGACTTATATGTGGTATAAAGTATTAACATTCAACAGAGTTTCTTTTTGTTTGTTTGTTTGTTTGTTTCCTTTTTGTCTTTTTCCATGTCCGGCAATGGATCGCAACCCTCAGTGTCGCCCCCGTACCGGACCAGGACCGGCAACGGGATTGTAACCCTCGGTGTTGCTCCCACGCCTCGCTCAGCCAGTGAGCGGGAACCGGTCTGTCTGTGGGATCTGAACCCTCGGCGGGAGCGCCACCACGCTCCCAAGCAGCACACTATAGCAGTGCGCCACCGGGCTGGTCCTCAACAGAGTTTTGATCAGAAATTTAATATGTATTTTAACCTAAAACATATGGAAATAATTTGTGGTAAAATCTGTCTCAGTGATGGTTTTCTCATTGAGGAAGGCTTTATTCAACAATGTTTAGAAGTTTGCATTAATAAGTTTCACATAACCTCTTCTAAAATAGGATATTAAAATATATCTAAATGCTAAATATTCCCGTGAGCGTAATATTAAGATATTTATTTCTAATGTTAGCAGTAGCTAACAAAACCCACATTTAAACCTCTTAGCACAATTACACAGTCCAAATGAGAAATGCATCTTCATATATAGGCTTAAAAAACAAGATATACGCATATTTGAAAAATAAATTTCCATTAGTAGAAGGAACATGTCAAAATATAAAATTCAAATTTGTGCTCACTGTATCTAAATAAGAAATGAAGTTTTCCAAATGTCAAATGATGCATGCCACATACATCAACCTTTAGTTTCCAATGATAAAAATATCTGGAAATATTGGGCTGGCCCGGTGGTGCACTGGAGAGTGCGCCGCTTGGGAGTGTGGCGGCGCTCCCGCCGAGGGTTCGGATCCCATGTGGAGACTGGTTCCCGCTCACTGGCTGAGCGTGGTGCGGGCGCAACACCGAGGGTTGCGATCCCGTTGCCGGTCCCCAGTATGGGCACGACACCGAGGGTTGCGATCCCGTTACCGGTCAGTAAAAAAAGACA